TAACTGATTGTCTGTGTGACAGTGAAGGACTGTCAATGTGCATTGACAATGTCCCATTAATTGTTTTAAAGCAATGTACTGTTAATATTTCAAATAAAAGTGCCTTTATGTCCAAAATGGTAAACGACTCTCGTATAACAGTGTAATACACATAGACAAAGACTTGTTTAGTTGTGTTACAGTCATCATTATTGTACCTAGACTCGCTCCAGAAGATTGGATGCGCCGTGCCGCCATCTGGATTGACTGTGATGGGTTTGATTTTGCTGTAAGACTAAAAGAAGAACTGGAAAGCACAACTGTCAGAAGTGTTTCTGTCAAGTGTAGAAATTCTCCTGCAGCTCCACAGTATTCCTACCTTTTCATCGTCATTGTGAATGAACAATGCTCCAATCACCTCTTCTCGTTCCTTTTTTGTATCTCTCTTTTTCGTCTTCTTTCATTATTTCCCTCACTTCTGCCAGCCTTCGACATCTCTCTCTTCCCCTTCAATTGTCCCTTTCACTGCACACATCTTCTCTTGTCATGTTTTCCTCCTGTCGTGATATTATTTTTTTTGCTTCTCTCTTTCTGCTCTAAGGCTCTCCTGCAGCCAGCGGCACAGGCACGCTGCAGATCTATCTGATAGATATTAATGACAACCCCCCAGCACTCATACCCAAAGAGTCTCAGATCTGTGAAAGGACGTACAGGAGCATCAACGGTGTCAACATCACTGCCGCTGACGCCGACACAGACCCCAACGCTGGACCTTTTGTCTTCGAGTTGCCCACGTTTCCCACCACCATCCGCCGTAACTGGACAATTTCTAGGCTCAGCGGTAAGGTGTTACCACTGAAGACAAATTATCAAATTTAAAAAATTTAAAAAAACGTTTTATTTTTTTTCTCTTCTGACAATGCAGCAAAAATCTCCTTACGCGTTTATTAACCATGTGCACGTTCATGTGCATTACTGTGCAAAAGTCTTGAGTAGCTTACCATTTCTTTTTATTCTGCTTCCAAGGAGCCATACTTATTACATCGTTAAGTACTTTTTTACTAGCACCCTGTCACACAAACATATAATTTGTTCAATTTTCTTTAGTTGAACCAATGAAAAATGTCACATAGCACAGTATGACAGGGATAAAATAGTAATTTTCTACCAACGAGGTGATTCTCAAAGAGATTTTAGCAAAAAACTTGGCATGTACCAGCGTGCTGTGCAGTGTGTCCTTAGAAAATTTGAGGAAGCTGAACAAAAGGTCATGATAGGTCATGTCCTTAAGAAATAGGAAAAGGTCTAGCAAAGACCTGACACAGGACCTGAGAGATGCATCTAGCCTTTTGGTTGATTCATTTTTGATTGAAGCCTCGTCAGAAATGGTTTCAGTAGAAGGGTGGCTGCCAAGAAGCCAAATTACTCAAAAAATTGGACTAAAATTAGTAGCAATAGTTCTTATGGAATGAAAAACATCTGATTGGCAACAGCTTCATTTTTCAGCATGACAGTGATCTCAAACACACTGCCAATGCAGTAAAAAGATATCTGGATAAAAAAAATACACAATGGCCTCCCCAGAGCCCAGACCTGAACATTATTGAAGCAGTGTTGGATCATCTTGACAGAAAACAGAACAAAAGATAGTCAACATGTAAAGAAGAGTTTTCAGTGTCCTTCAGAAAGCCTGCAGAACTGTTTCTGAAGACTACTTAAAGAAATCACAAGACAGCTTGCCTAAGAGTTCAGACTGCGTTGCAGAATAAAGGTGTAAATCCCCAAAAGTTGATTCTGTTCATCTTGATGTAATGTTTTCAGTGGGAGAACGCTACATCCAGATGAGCAGAATCATCTTTTGAGGATACGGTTATTTTAACTATTTGTAACCCAGGAAAAAAATAATCCTTTTGAAAAATGAAATGTGATTGTTAGTAATGTCTCTTTTCCCTTTACAGGTGATTTTGCCCGTTTGAGTCTGCGGTATCAAATATATTTAGAGCCTGGAGTGTATGAAGTCCCTGTAATCGTGTCAGACTCGGGGAACCCTCCATTGTCCAACAGGTCAGTCATCAAAGTTAAGGTGTGTCCCTGCGATGAAAACGGAGATTGCACCACCCTCGGGGCCGTGGCAGCTGCTGGCCTAGGAACTGGAGCCATCATCTCCATCCTCATCTGCATTATCATACTACTCAGTGAGTTTTTGCTATTCATTCAGCGATGCTCTCAAACATATCACGTACCCACACGTTTGCTGTAGAAAAGTTGTCTGTGATTAGATTCCTCAAAACAGTGTAGTACATGGCACAGACATAAAATATTTAACAATACAATAACATCAGCACCAGTTTGTATAATAGATAAATGCCTGGAGTGCTTGAATTTTCTCCAGCATCTCTGGATGAGATGTTTTTGTGTTCTTTTCCTGGTAGGGAAAAAATGCTACTATCATGTATGGCATCCCAATAGATCATTTCAACTGTAAGGTTTTTTTTTTCCAAATGTTTTAAAAGTTTAGATTATTTAGAATCTTCTATTATCTTATAACTCCTATTAACCCAGAATTCTAATTGAATCTGTTTTCTTGTTATTTACTCAAGTACAGCACACCAAGCTTTTGCAGTGATGACATATACAAGCACAAGATCACACAGAAATAACCATAAATATATAAATAGATAGATAAGGATAAAAAACTTAAGGATAAAAATTGAAACGCAATAACAAAGAAAAATTGTTCGTCATGATTCATATTACTGAAACGTTAACCGTATGATTAAGTAGGGAAAGGTCATAGTGGCTGTGGTGAAAGGGACTGTTTGGAGGAAATAAATTATGAGTAGCAGCCATCTGCCTGCTGGGCCCATTCATCCACCAACCGGCTCCCTAAGTGGTTTTGTGTTGGCATAGCTATGTCATTGTACTTTGCAGTTTGTCATGTTAACATAAACTTAGGTTGTTTATTCTTGACGGTCTTTTATCCCTCAAGACGAATGGCGAACAGCTTCCTCAGGATGCATTAGTAAAACCGACATTTAATTAAATGTTGCCAAGTCCGATACAAACGTGCTATAGGTATTAAACGCTATACATGTTTAGCATCTGCACTCTGTGCTTATATGCAACCTTACTACTTACTTATCTGATTGTCTGCTTTTAGTTTGTTTTTTTAGAGGTTGTTGCAACATACCATAGGGTTTTTTCACATTCATGTGTGTATCATTGCAGGCATGGTGCTGTTGTTTGTGGTGTGGATCAAGCGCAGAGAGAAGGAGAGGCAGACAAAGCAACTGCTCATTGACCCTGAAGATGATGTCAGGGACAACATCCTCAAGTATGATGAAGAGGGAGGAGGAGAAGAGGACCAGGTGAGATCCTGAGAGATGCCCTCGCTCAAATACGCAAATACGCGTTCTGTTTTGGACTGTACTTTACTTAGATTTCTCTGCAGGACTATGACTTAAGCCAGCTGCAGCAGCCCGACTCCTTGGAGCACATCATCAGCAAGCCGCCTGGTGTCCGCAGGGTGGATGAGCGTCCGATCATCCCAGAGTCCCAGTATCCAATCAGACCTGTTGTTCCCCACCCCGGAGACATCGGAGACTTCATCCATGAGGTAGATTTAAAAGCACACATCATCTTTTGCATGCACAATGGCTCCCACTGTTATTAGACTGTTTGTTCCCGCTATAAGATGGCCCACTCACTTTCACTTCCCATCAATCTGACACCTAACGTGATTACTTATTCTGAATGTTGTTCAAAACGTAGAACTCTACCAGGGTGATGGGAACGACAAGTTTTGCTTTATGTTACAGCTCCTCTCACCGTGCCGGGTTAATTTACGCACACACACGTACAAATGAGCACTGTCCACTCACACAACTCCAGCGTTGGAACACTGATGCGAGAAAATGCTGATTGACAGACTTGTGACAACACGTTCACACTCGAGAGGTGTTGGCAGCTGTTCAGCTTTGATCCATTCAGCCTTGACTCTCTCTCACTCTCTCTCTTTCACACATGCACTCACCTGAGCTCGCTTCAGCAGTCTAGTTAAACACAAACACAGCAAACACATGGTGTTTCTGTCATGCACTGTGCCCAGACCGATTGAAGCTTTTTAGGTTTCTATCCATAGTATCTCTCGTTATGTGACTGAAATGGATGAAGTCCATTCTTTTCACCTAGCTAACCTTCAGGTCGATGGCCCCAATTTATCATTCTTGGAAGCGAGCAAAGAATCGAGCCTTGCCAGATAACATGAAGACCCCGTCATATCTTATTTATGAAACTGTGTCAAAGTATTGATGAAAAGGGATGATCGCACATTGAAATAAAGAGCTCCTGAGTTTTGT